TACTCCGTAAGCATAGGCCCACCAGCTATGAGATTTCCGAGTCGTCTGATACCGCAGCACCATTGGGTGTGTATCACACCAGCAATTTGACTCCCTATCAAGCTCCCGAGGACCCAGACGTGACCCCTAAGCCATTAAGAGAAATTAGAAAAAAAGGAAGGTCCCGGAACACAACCTCACCTGCCACTACTTCTGACGCCTTATCGAGACGACCTCGACGTCAGAGGGAGAGACTGTAGAAGATATTTTATTATATTACGCTCGCCCATACAATACTCGCAACCAACATTACCTTACCTTCCGTCGGCGTGTAGATCACCGCAAGATGTAATTCCGTTCGATCGAAGTCATGGCGCACCGAAAAGCGCCAGCATTTTAGTCGCCTAAGGCTTCTTTTATGCACATGTCGTTGTGTGGTTTGCCGTCGGACGGCACAAAACGCTCGAAAACTATTTACATACGGAGCAATGGTTCCTTTTATGCAGTTGTCGTCAAGAAATTTTCCGTCGCGTTTTGCGAACGTGCCGTTGTGTGTCTAATCATGCCGTCGAGAATATAGATTTGGACGGCAAACGCCCAATGACAATTGCGGTTAGAACATTTTAAATACACGTACACAGATATGGATTTTTATGCAGACGTTCAGCGTTTTGTTGTCGTAGTGAAGGCCTGTTGCCACGCATCGTAGTTTTCACAATGAGTTCAGAGGGTGTAGACGTAAATGTGAATACGGAACAGTTTATTGATGAAATAAGACAACGAAAGGCCATTTGGGATGTATCGTCGCATGAGTATAAAGACAGAAATATAAAAAAGAATCTGTGAATTGAAATATGTCTTGCATTTTATCCAGGATTCGAAGAGTACGATGTGAAAGAGAAATTAAACATCTGTAAGTATCAATATGTGTATAATACATAGTGTTGGACATAATAAGTATACAGGGTAGTCACTCTTACAGTGTATACCATTGGGAAGAGATACAGTGTTGGTTAAATTAGAGAAAAGTTGCGCTATGTCATGCCCATGAAGAATCTGCTTTGAAATCTAAAATATCTACAGGGGTTTCCAAAATATCGGAAAAAAACTAAAAATTGTCATTTTGGAAAACTTTATATTTTAAAGCAGATACTTATTGGGCATGAAATACCTTTTCTCTAATTTAACGAACCCTGTATTTCTTACAGTTTAGGAGATTCCAATTGTCTACACTGTGACCACCCTGTATACTAAATATAAAAGTTGCAAACTGTAAATAAAAGTAGGGTATTTGTTGTTACATATTGACCAAACTATTTAGGTTAGGTAGTAGTATACTGTAAGCCTTTTAGTGCGGAAAATTTGTAACAAAAAATGCCCGAATAAAAATGTACCTAGTTACCCAAAAATGTTTTAAAGAAATATTCAGAATAGCCTTCTGCCTACCACTTAACGAATACTTAGTCCTTTTATATTTTTGAATTTTGCCAAGGAACTGAACCTGCAGGACTTACAAAATATTCTGCCAAATCTTGTCTAATATTATAAGCTTGTTTTTTTCCTCGTTGCAACGAGATGTTCTCACTGTTATCATTGTCATGTATTCCAACAATTTCCAATGTGTCCTCAAAGCGAAAACCGTCTCTGTCTCGAACAAAATTATGCAACGCACAAGCAGCTTTAACAATAAGGATACAATTTTCTACTCTCAAGTTCATTGGTCTATAAAATATTCTCCACTTATTTGTCAGTATCCCAAAACTACATTCCACAAATCGTCTAGCACGGGACAATCGATAATTAAAAATTTTCTGGCTGTTATTGAGACACTTTCCTGGAAATGGCCGCATTACATTAGTCGTTATTCTAAAAGCTTCGTCTGCAACAAAAACGTAAGGCACATCCTCCGAATCTTTATTAATTTTTGTTGGTGGTGGGATATGCAACGACCCAGATTCCAAAGCGTGTCCAAAAGTAGACCTGTCAAAGATTGTTGAGTCTGCATCTTTCCCATATGAACCAACATCAATATATATATAAATTTATAATCGCTATCAGCAATAGCCATTAAAACGACAGAGAAGTAATTCTTATAATTGTAGTATAACGAAGCAGAATGTTCAGGTTTTATAACCCTTATGTGCTTGCCATCGATAGCTCCAATGCAGTAAGGAAAATTAGCTCGTGCTTCGAAACGTATTGCTATTTGTTGCCAAGCATCTTCTGAAAATTCGGTAAAAACTTCTTGCTTTAACGTAATCCATAGCACACGACATGTTTTTAGCACAATTAAGCTTGCAGTGGTAATTCCCACTCTAAACATGTAATGGAGATCCGTGTAAGTACAGCCAGAGGCCAGGTATCTGAAAACAGAAAACAATGTCTCTATCTAGGTTTTTTTTAGGTAAACAGTTACAAGACAAGTGGAAACATATTCGTGATAGTTACGTTCGAAGTCTTAAAAATTCAAAAACCAATTCTGGACAAGCACGAAAACAAACAAAAACCTATGTGTTTGCAGAACACTTTCAATTTCTAACTAAAATAAAACCGCGCCTTACCGAATCATCTGTAGAAGACATGCTTCACGATAATGATCTCGAAACTAACAACAATAATGGCGATAATGCACATAATAATGATGTAAATATTGAAAACGATGGTGTAGGAACTCAACAGCAGCACGTTACCAATAAGCCTACCGAAATTCAGGATCAGACCAGTGCTACTAGCACCATATTTAGAAGAAAGCGAAATAGACTAGAGGAGAATCTGGAAACATATATAGACAATTATTAGCAACCCAAAGCGCAGATGAACGAGGAGAGATCAGATGATATGGATTTTTTTCGCTCGTTACTTCCAATTATTGCGCCACTTACAATGTCTCAGAAAATAAAAGTACGCATGGACATAATGAAATTATTACTATCGTATACTGATACGCCTATGCCACAAAATATAGTTCCATCTACGTCGTATGCATCTAATGCATTTTTACAACAATCATCACAATTCAGGAGACATGATGGTCAACAGCAGTATATATATATATATATATATATATATATATATATATATATATATATATAGTACTTCTGAACAACCCCAAGTAGCAGAAGAAATCACTAAAAAATAGCACTGTTATATGCCTTCACAGCCACCTTCAATCCTTACCCAGCTTACCCCACAACACCATCGGTCGTTTCAAAATATAACTACTCAAAACAGCCCACCTACATTGCCTCAACTGACAACATCAACTGATACTCAATCGCAGGAGCAACATTTGGAAGAATATAGACGGGTTATTAGCCCAGATGATAGCAATTCCATGATATCACTTCACAGTCAAGATTCCCTCCTTGGTGACAATTCATCACTGTTCAGTGAAAATGATTTCCATTGAAACAATGACATTAGTATTAAACACCATCACCGTAAGAGTGTAAAAGATAACTATGTAACTCAGTAATAAAAATGTTAATACTTTTTGTTCTGTAAATATTTTTAACCTACTTTACGTACAAGCAAATTAACTTACCTAAAGGTAATTGTCAGCATTTCCTCTGGTGAAAACAATAAACTTTGCACCTACTCCGGTTTACGTGTAATAGTTTCTCTCACTTTTGCAGCGAGCTCGTCGAAAGATGTCGTAGACATTCTAACATAATTAAAGAATTTCTGCGGGTCCTCTCTTAATTTTACGAACAAGTTTCGGAATGCGCCATCGATATATCGGGTTCTATTAATAGGATGGACAGCCCATCGTCTTTGCCTTCTTTGCTTCTTTCGATAAATTAATAAATAATATATACACGGATCCATCTTTTTTTACTGCTCTGACAACAATGCACTTAATACATCTACTAGCCGCTTGAACCGTTGTACTTGCGTGAAAAGGTACAGCGGCACCACATGGAAACGTCGAACGTTGTGCCGTCCGACGGCAAACCACACAACGTAACCGTTGCCGTTAAGGTCTGAGCGAAGATAATCAATATTAATTCTTTTACAGATACAGTGCAGTAAATCTAACGAAGAAAATATTTAATATATTATACCGTTTTACTGTTATTATACTGAATATAATTATTGTAATAAATTTTATTTGAATTTAATAAAGTTATATTCTACAACTATTGGTATAACAGAGGAACAGGCTTATTTATTCAATCCATTTGTAGTAGACAAATATTACAAAAAACTTATTGTGTATGAAAATTTTCGAAATATTTATCATGCAGTGGAACGTCACATCTAGTACAAATTCTTGTAGTTTTTTTCCCACAAGCTGCACATCTTCTTTGTGTCTCTATGGGTTTTATTAGATGATTGCTTTGATCAAAGCGCATTTCGAGGTTTACTCTTCCACTAGACTTTGTTCTCCCCAAATAAGCAAGAACAATTTTTCTTCTTATATCTAGAACGGAAATTGGTTGATCTGAGTGAGTAATTTGGTATAATCTCCAAGTATTTACTAGGCATATATCCAAAAATTGAGTGAATAATAACCACCACCATTTTTTTTTTGACCGAATTCTGGTTCTATATAATGAATTTTGTTTATCTAATAGGTCGACTCCTCCCATATGTTTATTGTATTCACTAAATGAACGGGGTATCGGAACAGAAATTTGTTACTAAATGCAAACCACATAATTTTAATTGACACAACATCCAAAAATGAGGAATATGTGAAAATATTAGCTCTGTGCCTACAAACCAGTGCAATCAAAAGCAACCCTCATGAAATAAATGGGAAATTAATTTTTAAAGAAAATATTCTGGGGATCAGCGAGTTTACATGCACCTGTAAGGCCGGTTTATCTGGAACTTCTAAACATTTAAGTGCAGTTTTATTAAAGTGTACCAGGTAATTATTAATAGATTGTACCTAAAACATAATAGAATATTCTGAGATTTGATTTGGAGTTCACTTTAAATTTATTTAAAATATATTTGTATATTTTTAGATCTAGTGTTACTACTTTGGAAAAACTATCTAGTACAGATTTAAAATGCTACTGGACACATACAAAAAAACTGTTCAGGAACAGTACGAAGCAATACCACTTCTAGAAACGTTATGCTACAAGGATAAAGTTAAAAATAAAGAAGGTTTATGCCAGGAAGATGAAAACCATTGTTTTAATACCTTAATTGCTGCTTGTCCTGACTCAAGTAAGCATGCTATTTGTAAGTATATAATATACTGTTAATAAATGTAAGGTAATTAAAATTATAAAAATATTTTTTTCTTTTCAGAAAAGGTCGCCGTGAAATAGTATCTTTTCAAACCATGGCCGAGGAAATGTCGATGGAAATTACATCAGTAATAGAAAATGCACTAAATTCGGATTTTTTATCAAGTCTACAGATGGATGTAGAATCTTTTAACTTGAAGGTTTGCTGCAAAAAAGTTTTAAAAGAGATTTTAGATGTTAGTACATTCGAGGAAGCCATTCGGTCTTAACAGCACTCGGATATTTGGAAACAAGAAAGACAGTTCAGAATAACAGGTAAGCATTTCTCATTAAGTCCTGTGCCTCTCCCTTATCTAGGAAACTAAAATTATTATTCTGTGTATGAAAATTGGGACACCTTGGCAAAAATTTTTTTCTGGCTTAAAGGATTCAAATCAAAATATACTGACCACGGAATTAAGTATGAAAAGAAGGTATTGGAAATATATAGCAAGAACAATAACTACAATGATATTGAAATGGGTTTGGTTGTCAAAATTTCCATGGCTTGCTTATTCTCCGGATGGGGTCGTATTAGTAAACGGTGTCCCTGAAAGATTAGTCGAGATCAAATGTCCTTATGATGGTAAGATTAATTGTTTAGATTAAACCTATAAGTGTTATATTTTAATTTACTTGTATGTAAACACATGCATTTTGTTAGGTATAGAGAACTCATCAATAAATTTTACACGTACCTGTTCATATTTAGAAGTAACTGTAGAACAGGGTATTTGTCTTAAGAAAAACCACTCTTACTATGGCCAGGTACAGTTGGGAATGGCAATTCTAAATTTGCAAGTTTGCGATTTAATTTTATATTCATCGTCTTCTAAACATTTTTTAAATATACTAGTACCATTTGACAAGGAGTTTGCCACAAAAATGTTGGATACAATAACGTGTCAATATTTTAATAATTTATTACATTTTGTTTGTACAAATCCTACTTAAAATTTTTGTTGGTTTATAATTTAGGTGTTTAGTGTTTATAATTTAGATAGGTATTTAATGTTATTTGGGTTTAAGGTTTGTTTATAATGTAGGTATTTATAAATTTTTGATATTCAAAAATGTGTGTTTTTTATTGAAAATTAAGGTTTTTAAGGAAAATAAAACAAATAAGAATTTTTTAAATTATATTACAAGAAAAGACTCAGTATTTTTTAGTAAATGATATAAAACAAGGGAAATAATTAAAAATAAGAAAATAATAATTATTGCAAATACAAGAAATCTATATTTTTTACTTGATTAAAATTTATCTGCTGAAAGTACTAGAGTCTGTAAATTAACCATTCCGCATATTATCATCATAATTTTATCAATAGAAGGTATTAGATTATTTGATAGAGGATTATTTAGAATATTAAAATTCCTATTTCTTTGGTTGACTCGCTCAATATGTACTCTAGCCCTAGATATTAACACATTTTCACTAAATTGTTTTTTTGTCGTAGAAAATGTGGTCTAATCAAATTTATAAAATGGTCCTGACAAATTTTGTCTATAAGAAAACCCTTATCAACCATGATACTATCTTGCCTCATTTGTAATTTATTTATTAGATGGCTTTGCTCAAAAATTGCTTTATCAGAAGTTCTACCACTATAACTTTTGAACAAAAATGTTATTAAACCTACCGAACTAACACCAGTCATTATTTTTATGGTTAGCCTGCCTTTATAGTGGGAATAAGTTCTTACTCTACAACATAAAAACTTTGGTCTTTCTATTGCGATTTCTAGACAGTCCAACACTATTCTTACAGACACCTAAAATCATGAAAACATTTGGGAATATTTTTCTGGCATTCTTCATATGTTTGCCAGTAAATGCTCGATTTCAAAATGTTTGATAGGTTATACACATAGTCAACAAAAACCACTTTACATGAAGAAGGCGATATTTGAAATAAAAAAGAAGACGTTAAATTTTAAAGCCATTTTTAGTTTCATAAATACAAAAATAATTATGTCCTTTATTGATAATTTTCGTTGCTTTGTATCCGGATACTTTTGTTGTACCAGCAAAGTTAAAGCATTTAAAAGTTTAAAATAGGTATGCTGTCATTTCTGCCTGGAACACTGTTGCATTATTGAATATCTTAGGAAGTTGCTATCTGTTTTGCAGTACGCTCTATTGCTAGAACTTTGTGAATTCTGGAGCATGTGGATGTTTCAGAAAACTCCTCAGAACTTCCTATGCGATTGTCTTTTTGCCATTCTTATTTCCTTGTTGTATTGCGTGAGTTAAGCCATATATAGGGTCCAGTCTTAGGTTGATTTGGGTTTATTAAATAGCCTTCGCACTTCACCTCTAAGATTGTCCTAAGTGCTTACCATCAGACTGTTTTTGTTCCATCTCTTGATTTTTCCAGTTTTCATCGTAAGTGATTATAATAGCCTTATTTACTTGGTCTACTGCTCGATCAAGGCTTTATTTACCAGGTATTTTTACCATATTGTCTTCGAGGTACTCTTGGAGTGCTCTTTAATGCCTTTTTCAGTTTGTTTTTCTAGGGTTTCTGTGTTTGGTTGAAACTAGAGGTGGGTTAATTAGATCAAATCTAATATCTATGGTCTGAACACAATGGCTTGTCTGGCATTTTGAAATGTTATCACTTGCTTTATCATTTACTTAAGAACCTGTTTTGTTATATCACAATAAATGGAAAAAATTGGTAATAACATTGATTATTTAACATTTACAATTCTCAGAGTACGGTCTACGTTCTTAATAGATGAATATTATAAAAAAATGTATAGCAAATTGTATTTTATTAAAAACCTCAAGCATATGCGTTTTATAAATGTAAAATGGGAGAATTCAATCTCAGTATCTCTTTCATAATTCATAATACTCTATTTACTGATAGCTAATCTATATGTGAAACTTTTTCTTCAGTCTTTATAACGACAAATAAATCAAATTAGTATAAAACCACCTAACTCAAGTCATTATGACAATTGTTTACCAATATACAATAAAGGTAAAACAAATTTAAAGTAGAAATAAATATGTTGCCCGATAAACCTACAGACCATGATAACATACCGTCTTCATTAATAAAAATATTTACGAGAGGGTTACCACAACCCCCTTTTCTAATTTTCAATAAGTCATTGCAAGAAGGGGTATTTCCGCAAATATGGAAAAAAGCATTTTTTATAGTCTATTCCAAAGGCTGGTGATAATAATAAATGTTAAAATTGTCAGGCTTATTTTAAAACTTCCAGTCATATCCAAATTGTTTGAAGAAATTATAAAGGAATTTCTTTATTTTGAAGAAAAATAATTTGTTAAATGTCTAGCAACAAAGATCAGTTGACTCTTAATTTACATTTTTACACAGAGTACATATATTACAACATTTAAATAATCACACTCAGCTGGACGCTATGTACATTCAGCAAAGCAATTGCTTAAAAGAAAATATATTTTGTTGGATAGACTGGCTGAGGTTGATGTGCATGGTAGTTCACTAAAGTGGTTTGAGTCGTGTTTAACTGGGCGGTTGAATCTATTAGTATTGAAAATTGTACATTAAAATTTTATCTACTAACTTCTGGGATACTTCAAGGGACACATTTAGGACCATTTTTATTTAATATTATTCAACAACATTTCTAAATGCTTTAATTTAAGTTTGCGAAATTTCTGATATATGCGACGATTTAAAAATGTACCACTCAAAGTATTTCCATATTACATTTTTGCATAGCAATAGTTATTTTTGTATCTAGTGCGCGAAATGCTACTTTGGTGATCGAGAACGTTAAAAAAAATAGTCGAGATCACCAAAGTATTTCGCGCATGAAATGCAAACAAATTTTTTCTACAAACGTCAAAAATATTATTCTAAAATAAGTAACATGCTTAGCTTAATATGAAAAATAGTATTGAACTGGCTTAAACTGTTTTTCCAAATCAAGTAATTACTGTAACTATGGAAATAAAATGGCATTTGTTGACAATTATTTCAAAGTAACAGTTCTTGATAATTATTTTGGAGTGACTTTTTATTCGTGTCAATTTCGTGCGTGATATTTATAACTGTAGAATAATGGAAATTTCGAGCGACGATGAAGTAAGCAGTACCCCACCTAACTTGACAGATGCGGCCAATTCAGTAATTTCAAATCTTTTACTGGAGAAATCGAGGCGCCAGTATGAAAATGCATATCAGCAATTTAAAGAGTGGTGTGAAGCAAATAAAGCCAGAAAAATATCCGAAAATATGCTATTGGCATATTTTGCAGAGAAGTCTAAGAAGCTGAAGTCTTCCACGTTATGGGCAATATATTCTATGTTGAAAGCAACACTCAATGTTAAAGAAAACGTGGATTTTAAGAAATTTACCAAGTTGGTTGCATATTTGAAAAAATTGTCAGTTGGAAACCATCCTAAGAAATCTAAGGTATTGACTAGAGAGGAAGTTGAACAATTCATAAGAGAGGCAGATGATGAAACCTATTTGTTGATTAAGGTAGATTTTTGATGATTGTTTTATGTGTTTTTTAAATTACTGATTTCCTTTTAGGTTGTTTTAATACTGGGTATTTCGGGTGCTTGCCGCCGTGAGGAACTCACTAAAATGACGGTCGATGACATAGAAGATAAAAATTCCATTTTGATTGTTAAAGTACCCGATACAAAAACGAATATACAACGAATTTTTACAGTTTCAAATTTAGATTATATTGACATTTACCGAAAATATGCGGCTCTTCGTCCAAGTTATGCTACCAGTCGCCGATTGTTTTTGAAGTATCAAAATAAAAGATGTTTTAACCAAGTTGTTGGAATAAATAGTATTGGAAAGATGCCTAGCTTAATAGCAAAACACCTAAAATTACCAAATCCTGATGCCTACACGGGCCATTGTTTTCGGAGAACATCAGCCACACTCCTTGCTAATACGGGGGCCGATATATGTGTTTTGAAGCGACATGGAGGATGGAAATCTTCGACTGTGGAAGATTCTATCAACAATAAAATTCAAATATCAAATAAAATTTTAGACTGTGAAATTTCAGGATCAAGTGCTGTCAACTCTACGGCAGTTGCTTGCAAATCAAACATGGATAGTCTTCCAACTCCCAAAACTACGATATCACGAGCTGAATCTGAGTTATCTGGTTTAGGAATAAATATTGGTTCGTGCACTGGCTGCACTATTAATGTTAACATTGTAAATAATAAATAAAATTAGGCAGTGTTAAATTTT